GCTGCGCAGCCAGCTCGAGCTCAGCCAGGTTAGACAGGAGATCGACCGTCGCATCCAGGAGAAGGAGGAAGAATTTGAGAACACTAGAAAGAACCACCAGCGTGCTCTCGACTCCATGCAAGCCTCCCTCGAAGCAGAAGCCAAGGTGAGCATTGTTTTGTATTTCTGAAAAATCTCTTTCAAGCTATTTTATCGTTGTCCAGAGTTTGACAAAAATTTTACAACAAATTAGAAAAATAAATTAGAATTTGCCTGATCTTGAAATTTAATTTTCATTCTTAGGGCAAAGCTGAGGCGCTGCGCATGAAGAAGAAACTGGAGGCGGACATCAACGAGTTGGAGATCGCTTTGGACCACGCGAACAAGGCAAACGCTGAGGCACAGAAGAATATTAAGCGATACCAACAGCAGCTCAAGGACGTGCAGACCGCGCTTGAAGAAGAGCAGAGAGCACGTGACGAGGCCCGGGAACTTCTCGGCATCTCGGAGCGCCGCGCCAACGCTCTGCAGAACGAACTCGAGGAAAGTCGTACTCTCCTCGAACAGGCGGATCGCGGACGTCGCCAGGCCGAGCAGGAACTCGCTGATTGCCATGAACAGCTGAACGAACTGAGCGCTCAGAACGCCTCCATTTCTGGTGCCAAGAGGAAACTCGAGGCCGAACTACAGACCCTCCACGTGAGTGTTAATCAATCCCAAAAGTTCAATAGAATATTTCCCAAAAGAGGAAAATGAATTATATGTCTCCTTTTATTTTTCTTTTTATTAGTCCGACTTGGACGAACTGCTGAACGAGGCAAAGAACTCAGAGGAGAAGGCAAAGAAGGCGATGGTAGATGCGGCCAGGTTGGCCGACGAACTGCGTGCCGAGCAGGATCATGCTCAGACTCAAGAGAAACTGCGCAAAGCTTTGGAGACACAGATCAAGGAGTTGCAGGTGCGTTTGGACGAGGCCGAGGCGAATGCTCTCAAGGGCGGCAAGAAGGCCATCCAGAAGTTGGAACAGCGCGTGCGCGAGCTGGAGAACGAGCTCGATGGCGAGCAAAGGAGACATGCCGACGCCCAGAAGAACCTGCGCAAGTCCGAGCGCCGTATCAAGGAACTGAGCTTCCAGGTAAAAATCTCGCTTTACTAGTAAGTCCTTCGAATAGCAATCGAGTGGCAACATACTTTAGTTTTTATGAACTAAATTAGTATTTTCATAATCGATCATAATCGATTCATAATCGGTAATATCGAATTAATACTTATATAACTAAAAATAAAAATCAAGATATTTTTATTTTTAAATTTTATTATTTAACTCTTGGTTATTTTTTATTTCTTTTATTTTATTTAACTTGATTGTTATTTAAATTTACTCGTGGAACATAAAAAAGGTGATCGCATTTCTTGTTCTCGTTTCTAGGCGGACGAGGACCGTAAAAACCACGAGCGCATGCAAGATCTGGTCGACAAGCTCCAGCAGAAGATCAAGACATACAAGAGGCAGATCGAGGAGGCAGAGGAGATCGCCGCGTTGAACCTCGCCAAGTTCCGCAAGGCGCAACAGGAACTCGAGGAGGCCGAAGAGAGGGCGGATCTCGCCGAGCAGGCAATCACCAAGTTCCGCACCAAGGGACGCGGCGGAAGTGCCGCGCGTGGACTCAGCCCAGCGGTAAGTCAGTCTTGTTCTCCTTATTCTCAAAACTTAATTTTTATTTCGCGATGTTGAAATTTCAAGACCATATACTTTCTTTCGGCTTTTAGTCTTTTTTTTATTAAATATCTTTTATAAATATATCTATTCATTATAAATCTAATTCTATTAATAATAGTATTATATGAAAAAGTTTAAGATAATGTGAATTAAAGATTAACATGATTATGAGAAGTTTTTAATTTAATTGATATATATTTAATCGCCAAAAAGTAATGACAGTCATTAAGTTAACTTTAGTGTGAATTAATTTTTAAATTAAAATAATTTTATTTTATTTGACTTTGTTGAAATTTAGTGATTTTAATTTGGCAGCTTATCTTTTTATCGCGAAAATACGAAATATGTTATATCTTGCTAAATTAAGAATCGTTGTAGGTTTCTCATTAGACGTTACTATAAAATGAATTCTCATTGAAAAATTATTGTTTGCATTAATGTTGGGTCGCGCGGTTAAGAGATGAGATTGACGAATCGGAAAGTCCGATCGGGAGGGTTGTGATTAAAGGGGAGAGGTGCGGCGGGGAACAGATCGATAGTGATGGTATCTAATTAGCGATCTGTGTCTTCCTGTGTGCAGCCGCAACAGAAACGTAAGGCGCCCTCCGTGATGGAGTAGATGCACACACACACACCGCGCTTGGTCCATGTAAGTCCGTGCACGTGGGGTGTCGTAAGCGCGTGGGGTGTGTGAGACAGTTATCTAGAAAGAGAAGAGAAGAGTTGGCTGGATAACTAGAGAAAAAGAGAGGGAGAGAAAGGGAGAGAGAGTGATTATAGTTTTTTACGTGAATAAGGAATTCATGAAACGCGAAAGGAACACGAGAGCACTAGAGCACACCCTCTTGCATCCGTCACTGTCTCGTTTGCACCTCTGTGTTAGATAACACCCTTTCGGGTGGGCCCCGAGCTTGTTCTTCGTATTATTAACTTTGTGTACCTCGCACACCTTCGTCCTTTTCTCTATAGTATTCACTTGCGAGTAGATGCTGTTAGAAGTTAGAGCAACTAGAGGCCGAGCAACCACTGTGTGTGAAAAAATAGTCACTATTTAAGAAATAAATTAGTCTGTATTTACTTATTTATCATGAATTGAATTAATAATTGCGAAGGTGGAAAGTTAAATGAATAAATTAAGAGATAAATTTATCAATCAATATAATCAGATTTCCTGATTTATTTTATTTTCTTTTTTTTCACGACGATGTTCGAATTCTGGTTCTGGTCCAAGTGAGTCTTTCGTTTATATTTAATTTTCTTTTAATTCGAGAAGGGGGGGATTAATTTAACCGAGATTCTCCGAGGTTTTCCTCATCGATGTACATTGCTGTCATTGTTGATCTTTGTATTTAACAATATACGGACAGTTCGCTATCAACAGGAACTGCGACTTAAATTTTGATTTTCCACAAAGAAGAAATTGTAACTAATATTCACTAGTTATGAATGTTTGAGATAGATCCTCATTTTTTTCTAAAAATATGCATACGCTACGTTTACGTGGCAAAATAGAGGTGTCACGACCCTCAGTTGCGTCATAGTTATCTTATTTGCGCATTTTGAGTGCAAGGGGCAAAAAACAAAGATAGTTGGATCACAAACACGTAGCAAACATGCTACTCATGTTTCTCCTTCCCCTTTTTTCTTTCTTAGACACGTCACGATTTTCCGAATTCATGAAAATTTTTTACATACAAAATCAGCGCGAACATCTCTTCATATTTATATTTATTTGTGATTGAAAAAAGATTTATGCCTCGTGTTTTTTTCTTTCAGCCACACCGACCTATGATAGATGGTCCCCCATTCCCGCCACGCCGTCTTCCCGGCTTCGACATGCAGCCCGATGGTGAACTGTAAAGCTCTTTCCGAGGTTCGCGTAAATAATTAATAAAATCCAAAAAAAGTCAAAAATTCAACAGCAAAATATATCCGGAGAATAAGAAGAAGGGTAAGAGGAGGAGGAGGAGGAGGAAGAACATCGTCCTCATCGAGTCCATCATCGAACGAAGACACGAATATATTTGCAACGAATCCGAGAGCTCGCTCGGAGCTCTTAACGGCATCGTCATCTCGCAATCGAGCGATCGATCAATCAGTCATCACATCCGGATCATGGAATTCTCGTCATCTTTCTCGATAATAAATTTTCTGTTTCTAATTGGCCAAGAGAGGAGAAAACGCGCAAAGACAAAATAATCAGCGCTCGCTCGAAAGGGATAGGATTAAAGAAGAAAATAAGAAAGCGAGGGTGCGTTTCTTTACCACTCGAGCTGATAGTCGAAGAAGAGAGAGAGAGAGAGAGAGAGAGAGAGGGAGGGAGAGAAAGAGAGTGAGAGAAAGGGAGAGAGAGATTGGGAGAGTGAGAATGGGTGAGCAAGAGAGATCGAACGAGAGGACACGCGAGCGGACGATGAGAGGACAAGAGCCAGCGCGACAGATATATTAATATTTACACACATGCATACACACGGAAGTTGAAGGGATGGAAAAAGAGCAGAGCCACGAATACACATCCATTTATGTTCTCGCGAGTTGCATACACGTACAGAAAAAGTTCGTGAATGAAAATAAGATCGAGGAAGGAAGAGGAGGAGAGACACTCGCGAGAGGCAGACACAACGCGAACGAAAGCGAGCAACGCGATCAACAGCGCGTATCATTACACGTGTCATCCGAATGATATCGTATCCTATAAACTTAATTGTAATTTATAAAGAGAGACGAAGTATGTATTTATTAAAGTAAATAAGCAATAAATAAAGATAAGAACTAAGCCTTGCTTTGCCGATCACTCATCCGTGAATTATTCCGGCATTCCGGAATAAAGATTTATCGGACACTAGATGTCAATTTTTATCGTAAAGGGATTATTAAGTTATTTAATTGTCAATTTGATTTGTTAACAGTCCGAAATAGTCGTACGAGATAAATATAAAAAGTAATTTTTGATTTCAATCAATTTTCGATAAATCGAATATTCTATAATCTTTTTGCTTTTTAAAATAAAATAAAATAATAATTGATTTTTATATTTTGCATCTAAATTAAATTTTAATTCAATTTATTAAATTTAGCTTGACTTAACATAATTTAACATAATTTAACATACTTTAACATAATTTAAAGTTCTCGATGGTTCAATGCAACCATCTTGAATTATGACATCAGAAGTGAGAAAATACATGCAGAAAAATCTGGCAAAATAAATCAATATAGAAACAATCGCAATAAGAATATTCATATATGGAGGCAGGGGGGAGGGAGAATCCAGCGTGAATTTTAAAATAAGTAATTTAAATTTTCAACTTCAGCTATCTTATTTATATTTATCAGCACTTTTTGCTCGAGAGACACTTACATAAAACTAATATTTGAAAAATTTAATGCACAAGATTTATGATTGAGCGTGCTTCCTTTCGTCAGTGCCGAGCACTATCTCTGATTCTTCTTCACGTCAGTTCGCCCGAGCTGCTTGAATTGTCCTTTCAGAAGCTCCCACTGCGTCCACTTGTCTGCGCTGACATTGAATTCCTTGCATGTCTGTAGGAAAGCGGGCACGCATAATTGCAAATAGTGATGGTCCACGGTGGGTAGCAGATGGTGCAACGTGTGTGAGCCGTAGTTCGTGAGCGCTAGAAAGATCGAATCGTCGATCACCTCGCGATCGCGCACAGCGTCCATCTCGAGCAGACCCCAGTCCAGATCATTCCTTAGAGATGTTTAATATTTAGTTTAAAGAGATTACCAAAAAGTTGAATATTTAAAAAACGTATTTAATTAAAAAAAAAACTATATTATAGATTGAAATTAAACATTAAACAGATCGAGATTGAAATAAAAGACAAAGTTAGAAAATAAAGTTGAAATTAACAATTTAATAACAATTAAATTTAGATTAAATTAACGTTAAATCTAAGTTTAAAACGAAAAGCTAAAAATTAAAAAGTCCTTTTTTCATTGAATAAATTATTTTTTAATGGAGAACAAATATAATAGAATAGATCTGACCAATTAATTAAAAATAATTGAATAATTGAAGGAAAGAAAGGATTAAAAGATGTGTAACCTATAGATATCGCCGTCGTGGAAGATGTCAGGGTGATGATGGGCCGCATTGAAGCCGATCAAGCCGAATAAAAAGCTGCTGATCAGCAACATTGCTATCCACAGCTTGAAAGCGACGAGAACCTTGGGCGCCATCAAACTCATCGACAATGGCAGCAATAACGGCACGAAATCGCGAAATTCAAAGACTCCATACTCCTTGAATACTGAATAGTATCTAAACACGATAAAATCTCAGCACGAGACGAAGTTGGAATATCATCCGGCAAATTTATCAATATCAACAAACGCAACAATAGACTTAAGATTAAAAAAGTCAAATTTTCAATAAGGATTAAGAATAATCTAAATAAGGTAAAATCGTTCCTTTTTAATTAATTTCAACAAAAATATAAAACTAAATTTTAAATTTTAGTAGATTTACAATTAAAATGAAGATTCAAAATGAGAATGCAAGATAAAATTTTTTTCTTAATTTCAACAAAAATATGAGATGGATTATTACCGTTTCAAGCCTTCCGTAACTAACAACAACATCCAAACGATAGGACTGATAATCCTGCTTATCATTCCTGCTAAGTAAGATTTATCCTTATGAGGGAGCCATTGTAAAAACGGCTCAGCCACGTAGATCTCATAGTCCCATATGGTGTTGGTATACATATGATGACTCATCACGTGCACGATACGCCAATTTTTGGAAGACGCCATACCGAGATCAAAGTAATACATTCGAAAATTGTCTCTCATATGGAAGTAATTGTGTGCCGCGTTGATCGTCCATGTCAGAAAAACGCCTAGAATTATTGTCAAATAGCAAAATCAATCGATGTTCAGTAATCTAACATAGTCTTATATCTTCTATATTCAGTAATCTATTATAGTCTAATAATCTTCTTAACGTAAAGAAGTTATAAATATATTATTAGTATATATTAAATATTATTAATTTGCTAGTTTGTTAATATTAATATATGAAATGTGAAATATGTAAATTAATTCGGAGTGCTTTGAAATTTACTCTTGAGAATTTTCTATTGAAACCGTCTTCCTTTCTTGTGTTGGAATTTGGCAATTCAAAAAATTGATTAAAGTTATAGAAAATAATAAAAATGTACAATAATTGGGTTCAAAATGTACAATAATAAATGTACAATAATTAGGTTCATATTATTTGATTCACAAATAAAGCTCGAATTTTATAAAAAGAAAATTTCTGGATGGATTAATTTTACATATCTAATATCTATCTATTTGTAAAACTCATAAGTATTTTTAAAATTCTTACACATGCCACCATTGTTATTTTTCCTATTATTAACAAATAATCTTAATATATTTCAATTATTTATAACTTCGAGGATGCTCACTAGCGAAGAAGATAAGAGCATAAGAATGGGTGAAGGCGGCCATGAGACTCAGCGCAAAAGTTGTGACCATTAAGGAATCGGTGATGAGATTCGTTGTCATGGATGGTTTATGGAAATCGACACTCTTCAAAGCTTCGCTTGCACGTTTCTTGAATGTGCGATAAAAACCATTTGGTAAGAAAGTCAGGGACACTGAACGTGGAGTCACGGCATCGCTAACGTAGAATTTCGGCAGCAATCGTTCGGCCTTGTCGGTAATGTGGTGGGTCTACGTGACAAAATTAAAATTGATAAAAAAATTATTTATGCATGACAAAATTAAAATTGATAGAAAAATTATCTACGACCTATCTGAGAATCGCAACAATAGAACGTTCCTCAAAAAATATAATTATAAAAATAACTTAGGAAACACCAACTAACGTAACTATTAGTTGTAACTTTCAATAATGTAACTGTTATATAACTTAATAATTATAACTAACAGTTACGTGTTATAGTTGGAGTTGAAAGACAAAATTGAATGTAAAAATGCACGAAAAAGCAGTTTGGTTTATTTAAAAATTTGATGGTGTCTGAAAATATTTTTATTAGGTCATTAAATTAATTATATAAGACAATCAAATTTTACTGGAATATAACACATTTTTTTCAATATTGTTATTATACTTATATAAGTGATGTATAAATGTATAATTATTCAGAAGTAATTATAAAAATGATTATATAAATATGATAATTGTATAATGACGACAAGTTAAAAGTATGTTGATGTTATTCAAGATATCAATAATGAATAATTCTGACTTCGATTTATTACCTCAAACAACTCGGTGATGTCGGTTCCTTTCGTGAGTCGAATCCATTCAGATCCACCTGGATGCGATTTTGCGAAGGTATCCAAGTCATAAAGTTTGTTTTCGATCCTCCAAAGACCTTCTGCACCGTCGATTTTTCTTCTAGCTTTAAGAAATCCTGCTGCAGTTTTTGACGGATTTTCTCTCGCCGGTAGATAAGCTAAGCCAGGCACCGAACTAGCTTCCGGCATACTAAAGATTTTTTTTATCTCAACTAAATAAATAAAACACGCATTTAATATTTTGATTATAGTTAACAGTGTTAACAGAATTTATAATTTTTGCATATATACACAAAATGTTCGATTTATATTTATATAAATATCATAAATTTTATATTTATCGATTTTTATTTATATAAATATCATAAATTCTTTCATTTTAATTCTTCTGTACTTTAATCTTTTTGAACTCTTTTTTTAAATATAACTTTTATTTAAATTTCTAATTTTTTATTTAATTTTACTACAATATTTTACTCACTATCACATTTTCTTATTACAGTCTCTACATATTTCTTTGAATCTTTAGTAAAAAAAATGTTTTACTACTCTTTTGAAAAAATTAATTAAAATTAAATCAAATTAAAACTTTGCGAATTAACTAATAACAAACATAATAACAAAAATGAAAACTTACTGAAAGAGAAAATTAATTAGAATTTTATTTCCTTTTAATACGAAAATTTATCTTGTTTTATACGCTTTCGCTTTATATCTCACTGATCGTAATTAATGGAAGTAAGATTACACTGTGCAAATAATGATAATCGCAGATATAACTCCGAAGTTTTCTATATTTGATGTAATTTATTTGTTTAAAAGATAAACTTCAGGATATACTTTACTTGAGTTACTATTCATAGCCACAATCAAAATGTAACACTATCAATTAAAACAATCCATTACTGATTTATTGCAATAAGATTTCATTAAATATGTTGTTAAATGATTGCTTTATAATTGCTGCTTCTTATAATCTACTGCTTCTTATAATCGCTAAAAGTATACTGATTCTATATTTGAGAATATATATTAATACATATGTCTTTTTTCTTTATTTGAAAGATATGTTATCATCTATAAGAGATAAAGTTTGTATAAATTAGACAAAGTAGACAAAGAAAATATAATCAGTTGAATGTATATTTACATACATTATGTTTGTAATATCATTATTGACATAATGATAATTTAACCTGTCATATATTTACTTAATTGTATTTAAATAAAATATTTTATAATATTATCTGTTACATTATTGCTATAAATTAAAAATAATATATTGCTGTTATAATAATAGTAATAACAGAAAAATTAAAATTACGATTACATCTCATAATTGCAAAGAATATTAAATAGAATATAAAGTTTCCAAAAACAATTTATAATAGAATAGAACGGAGCTCTTTTATCTATAAACAAGTGATAATGTTTATCTTTCTAAACAGTATATATTTAACATTTGAAAAGCATGCTTATGCTTTCAAGAAGCAATTATATTTATATTTATATAACATAATTATAACGTCAATAGATAGACGTATGTTATTTTTCAATGTAAATTCATAAATTTTCATATTATTTTAAAAAATTAAAGCTAACGGAATAGTCTCGCTGTACCCTAATAATAATAATATACTTAATAATATATTTTAATGTTTATTAATTAAAATTTTAATATTTAAATTTTTTATAATATTTATGCACACAATATGTCCATATATATATATATATATATATATATATATTATTTTAGTTTTAATTTTATATGAAATAATTATTAGTCAATATGTTATTACAAGATATTACAATAACGTATTTATTCCTATCTCGAATATTATCATACTGATATCACGCACATCACATACAGACGCGAGAAAAGAAGCGTAAAATGTTTTTATTTTTCGTTAATTTGCTTGAATTTTGCGTACGAAAACTTATTTCATCATTATTATTTTATTACTCACAATACAACATGTAGATGATATTTCCCTTTGATTGTAATGTAATGTCCATGTTTTCAACACGAGAAATACGTCTTCTTAACAGAGCAATCGTAATTCCTTATCTATCTACACGGTTTATTCTTCAATAATACGATTACGAAACGGCCAGAAGAAAAGAACAACGAATTTAAAAAATTTGGACTGAATAATACTCAAAGAAATCACTCTTGTATGCGTGTTGTTCCCGCGAAATAGTTGGCATTAACAATCACGTTGTCGTTGATATCACACTGGCTGACAGCGCAGAAGCAGCAAGAATTGACGCTATCTATGTTACGATAATTATGCGTTTAATAATATGCATTTATTAAGAACGTAAGAATGTACCGTCTATATCAAAAGATTATAATAAATTATGTTTCTTTTTTTTCTGACATAAAATGTTAATGTAAATTAAGTTATTCATCATACTTTTTTTAAGATGCTTGATGTTGGAAGTATTAAAGATATTTTTTAAAAACTTTTCTCATAAAAAAAAGAGTTCAGAAAGATGAGTAAATAAAACATCTCGATGAGAACAAATGTTAATTAAAACAAAGTAAAACTAAAACCAAATTACATTAATTCTTTTAATTCGCTACTGGTTTATTTATGTCTTACCAATGTCCGCACATATTTTTGCTGTAACTTAATTTAAATTAACTTTAATCTCGATTCTCTTTTTATTTACTTTTTATCTAATTTTTATAATTTAAAAAAAATAAAAAGTAAGTTAAGCCGAAATTAAAATTAATATATTGATAGACATAAGTTCAGAAATTTATTTTAGGACAATATATCCTGTAAACTTATTATAATTATGTAATATATTCTAATTAATATATTTTCTCAGAAAAAATGAGATTGAAAGGGTTAAACTAAAGATTAAAATATTTTAAAACATAATTTCATTCTGTAAAAAATTTTACAATAAAATTTGATACGAGAAGCAGTTAAATAACAAATTATTTAATTTTTTTTAGATACTTTTAATTTATACTGTACGCTAAGAAATATCGCAGTGTTATATAATAAATCATTTATCAAATAACATATACGTAAGAATAAAAAACATACATACGTAAGAATAAAAAAAATTCTTGAGAATGACGCAGTAAAATCCAATGATCAATCGTGTCGATCTTCTTGATGATAATACTACAAAACACTATAAAATCAATAAACCTGTAGTAATGAAAATTTTAAAATTGCCATAAAATTGACGGCTCGTAGAAAAACGAATTGTCGTCGCGATCGAAAAGGGAGCTACTATCTTATCCACAACTGAGAACACAATGAAATTATAACTCTTAATGTTCATATGCAATGCGTTTATCGATTAATCAGTAAACGAATGCTCTCGCTCTTTAACCTATCGGATCAGTGAATATACAGTGACGCATTTTATAAAGGCGTCAAATCATATTATGAACGCCTCGAAAGGACTTCCTCATGATTGTATCAATATCGATGATTTGCATTTGCATTGTTTCTATCTTCGCAAAAAAGACAAAAGATACTTTGAAAAGCAATAGTTGGAAAATAGAGGAATAAATCTTAATATAAAAAGAATTTACGACGATCAGCCAGGAAATCGATTATACCGAACATTTTTACAAAAAACCTTGTTTCTTATAATATCCAGTTTTTTCATAATAAACTGTCATAGAGTAATATAAATAAATTCTAGATTGAGACAATTACGCAATATTCCTGAAGCTTTATGAAATCATGACATGTGTTATTTGCGGTATTTTCCAGTTACATTATTGCTATCTTGCAACAAACAAACTTGAAACAAACTTAGAAATAATTTAGAAAGAAGAGAGAATGTATTATCGAACAAATGTATTATGGAACAAATTAATTATATCGCAAGAGCATTTAAAAAAAAATTTTCTTCTACATTTCTTCTACAAGCGTAGAAGAGTATATATAAGCACATATAAATATTTTTGATCTAAGTGTGCAACATGTTTCTACTTAATATATGAATAATAAAGATTAATATATTTTACGCAAGCTTAAAGTTTTGAAAGAATTGAAATTAAGTCTGAGAAGAACTTTTGGACATAATTTTGTATAAATTTTTATAATGTAATCAAAATCTATTAAACGCACTGCCAGTTAATTATAATATTAATTTAATTACAATTTAATTAATTCTTTCAAACATTTTACGTAGTTTTAGCAAAATATAATCGAACGCATTATTTTGATCAATTTTGTATATAAATATTCAATATAAAATATTTATAATAACAGTTTAATTATATTTAATTATCAATTATTGTTTTATATAATAAAATAATTTAACGTACTAGTGTAAGTCAAAGACATTTACAATATTCAATATATTTATTATGATAATTATACGATATACGATAATTTAATATTATAATAATCCAAATAAAATAATTGTGTAATTTGATAATGCTTTATTTTTAATAAAACATTTCTGTTATAACAATTTTGCTTGCAAAGAGTATAAGAGTGCTTTTAAGAAATGATTTTCCGTCGCTAAAATTGTCAGACTGCCAAGCTGAGTGCTACGAAGATAATGTGCATCATGAATCGTTCTTGCGTGGTTTATATTCAAGTACAAATCGCGTATACAGGTGCAGCAGGTTGATGACCACGCAATGTACGCACCAGGTGCGTAAATATGCGTGCGATGACTTTGCGCAACTTATCTCGATCATTATGCTCGACACATCAGCCGATCTTCCTCGAGAAAAATTCTCAAGACCTTACAGATGTCGTCGCACAGCAGGGATTTATTCTCGTTCTGTTGTTTTTGCAGTACTCGGCAAAATTTAACTCTGCATTTCTGACACTCAAACGCAGAGTTGCTTCTACGTTGCGCAATGTATTTCTGCTGTTATCATGCGAACATACGAGATGCGCGTGACGAATCATGTGGAAATATCGTAAAAAGTTAAGATCAAATAGGCATAATAAATATAATGAGACAATAAATCATGATATAATAAAATGTGACATTACATATAATTATTAATAATTATTAATAATAAAAATTCAAGGATATAGAAAATGTAAAATTATATTATACATGATATTTTTTATAAAAATAAGGAAGAAAAAAATTTGTTTGATTGGAGATTTTTCTTTTTTTTTTATGATATATATTATACTACATTTGATACGTAAATATAATGGCAGTTTTAATGCCGTGATGGCGTGAATAGATAATAGTAGTATACTCGGCGAAGGAGAGAAATGTTTCCTCGTAAGATAAATCAACGAGGCAACGAACCTCTAATCAGAAAGCGCTTGTACTATACTCGCTGTAGGCTATTCAACTACTGGGTTCATTATTGCAATTCAAATAATTTGTATCAATCCTCTGCGTATTTTCTTTTTCTACAGTAATCCAAACTTTTCTAAAAATACATTTACAATATTACAATAAAATAAAAATATTATAATTATATGATTATAATTAAAATTAATACGCTATACTTCTTATACTTTTCTTATACTTTTACAAGATAGGAAGTGAAGCAATTAAACGGATTAATAAATAAATTTCCAATAATAAGATTAATAGCTCTAATTTTATAATCATATTTAAATAAATATTTGTCATTTTTATAACAAGCAATAATTTAACATTATTGATAGAATCTTATTCAGTTAATTCAGTTACTTCACTTCAAAGTTATTCTAAATTACAGAAATTATTTTATTAGAAGATACTGATATAACGTTAATATAATGTATAATCCATATCCTCCTTCTCTTTTCTCTTATTCTCTCTGCCTTTCTATTTCTGTCTACATTTGCTTGTAATTTCATTTTTATCTTAGCTTTTATCTTAGCTTCAATTCTACTTTCTTTATTTTTATTCTTTCATAGTCGCTCTTCAAACGAGAGTTTTGATCAGGCATGTCAACAGCATCATTGTCGTGATCTCTGTCTTCACGGAATTAGCAGAGCTCGCGCGAATTCTGGGCGTTGTGCTCATCATGTGATCTCTGTGATTCATATGATCCATGTGATCCATATGATTCATATGATCCATGTGATCTCTATGATCGTGCATCGTTGTCGAATAATTCGAAGATGATGTCGACGCGCAGATCGTGCCCGTGATGAGTTCCTCCGTCGATCCCGTGAGTATTCTAAAGTTATAATCGTTCAGGTCCAAGTGCGAATACATAAAGATGGGCAGTCTGTCAGAGAGAATCCACAGGTTGCCATTTCGATCGATCTGTTGAAATAAAGATGCGCAAGATTGTAATATAGCGATATAAGATTGTTTAATCACTATAATTATGTTTTTTGAAAATAAAATATAATTATAGATAATTATTAAGTTATAACTATATTATATTTTTTCACTTTCTTCCTTTAAAGACCATTAGAATTATTTAGCATGGAATGGAATGTAAAATCCTTCAGTCACGATTCCATAATGAGCGATTAGTAATATGTAATGCTGACATAGACTTCATTAAAGCTTGCGGTATACATTAAAGTTTAACTTTGTAAAGCAATACTGTAACTAAATTATCGTGGACGGTCAATTGTTATTAGGTTTCGATAGATTTACGATTACCTTGAGATCATTGGGGAAAACCATGGTGACGTTATCCTGATAGACATATCCTTGCTCTTGCATGGTGAATTTATTTTGCGGTCTCCAACAGGCGATGGTGTTCAGATTCGTGAGCGCGTAAAAGAGAATTCCGGTTTTTGGATCCAGGAAGCTAACGCTGCTTTGACCATTGGGCCCGCGTGACCCGAGTGTTTGGAATTCGTGGGACGTTTCTGTGACAAACGCGCGAAATAAGTTTAACGCTTCGATGACCGTTTCGCATGTAGTGTCCTTCAGACACGTAAAGTCACATGTCTTTCTTTAAGTAGAGATTCCTTGAAATTCTTTAAATCGAATTTACTTCTCTTCGCTGAAAGGTTGAGAGGATAATTCTCAAATAACAAACAATTAAAGATTAATCTCCTTAGTTACTTATTTAAATATTTAAATCATAAAACTGATTTTTTTAAATCTAATTATTGAAATCTGAAAGTTTCTTTCAAGAAACACGCAAAAAATAATTACACGAGAAATAAAAATTTACTATTTTGCATTCAAAAGGTATGCATTCAAGAGATTATACTTTTTTCACAAGCATGACGGTTTTTTTAACGTACCTGCAGCACTGGAACGCTGAGGATCGCGCAGTAATCTCGTACTAACGGAAAATTCCATACCACTGGAGAGTGGATGGTAATACATCGTACTGTAACCATCACCAGTCGGTGCAAGAGCCATCCCGAACAATCCGTCATTCCATTGGAACGATATTCCCGATACCTTAAATTCTCCTCCCTGAGAAGGACAGTTATCATTCTTTTTATCTTGATAAATCAAAAATTTCCATTTTTCGTATAAAGAGATTTTAATAAATTATATATGAAAGAACTAATAAAATTATTACGATTAATGAAACTGATGAACATTAAATTGCTAATTATTTATACACAATCGTTAACAGATTGATAAGAAATGAGCGAAAGATGAGTTGGTGCGCGTGCATTTCTGATCACCGACCATCGGATCCGGATGGAAAGAGTGGTGCTTGACGAGCCAGGATTTGTGAAGGCTCCACGAGTAGACGACGAGTCCTGGACCACCTAAGTCGCCCAGGTAGCCGTATGAATCTTCGCACGAGTAGTCCTCGACGGCGATGTTGGCGAACAAGGAATCGGCAGTTCTCTGGTCGGCCGGTATCACGTATTTACGTAGCACACGATCCGTCATCAGGTCGTAGACGATCAATGCCGGGGGTGCCTGTTGCTCAGGACTGCCCAGGATGTCAGTCAGTCCCGTGTCCAGGACCCAGAGTCGGTTGCAACGATCGGCGCGCACGCGAAACGTTGAGACGATCTCCGGCACGCCGGCGGCGCCATATTGATGGGCCTCCCAAGAGGGATATGGAATTAAGGGTGGCGATTCGCGTGTATCTGAAAACCAACAAACTCTGATATCGACGGCACCAACTGTTAAAAGAAGAGGAAGAATAATCTTATCCCTTTTACATTCATCGATTAAGTTCCGTTTTTGATTTTTCACTCAATTAAAATTGTTTCCTTTGAAAATTCTCGTGTACATAGTTATGAAAGTTCACGTTAATTAATTAATAAATATCAATATAAATTGACAAAAAATTATGATTTAACAAATTAAATTAAATTTCTGTTTATATATTATATTTACGAAAAGAATTATTAACATATACAAATATAATTGAAATTGCTGTGAAAAAAATTACAAAACTCTCGTCTCTAATTGAAGATGCCATCTCTCATGTCTCATAGTTAATTTTAAGACTAATCACCGTTGAGTCGAATGTAATTGAGACTTGCGGCCACTCCTTGTCTCCATCTTGGTACCGTGATGAAGATCCGATCGTTAGTCACCTCCAAACCCAACGGCAAGTTGTCTTCCTGCTTGTAATCTGGGAAGAGCCTCTTAATATCATTGTTCGGCCATTCGTAATCAATCTGCTTCCATCGGTAAGCAACTCGTAACTTGCCGATCGCACCGTCCAGCAGAACGATTAAAAGCGCGATTACGACGACAATTGACGACACCCGGCACCGCCTTGTCATTTTTGATACGCGATTTATCTCGCTATAGATTTATAGAATGAAGATCTTTTGATTTTTCCTAAACAAAAAGAATTTTTAGTTTGTTTAAAATTTCTTTTAATTATAAATTTAAATCTCCAATTTAAATTTATTTTTAAAATAAATTTCCTTTGTGAAAATGATATTTAATAAATTTATAATAATTTGTAATTAAATTTGCACGCGTATGAGGAGTTTGTATTATACTTTTATTAATTATATCTAAAATTTCTACTGTATTCTATTGTATTTCTACTTGTATTCTATTGAGGTATATATTTTATATTAATATATGTATTATATGAGTATTAATATGTATATATATCTAATGTGTGTGGGTGTATATATACATATATATAAGATTGATTTGAAAAAAGAATCGACGAAAGAGATAGATTGCATTTCCAGTCAGTTTCTCCTTGAAAGCTGACGGCCTTCGTGATACATAGTTATCCGCGCCTCGTTAATTAATATACACGTGTGACTAATTGTGACGTCGCGGAAATGAGGTTTCTCTATCAACGTCCATATGAGAAAAAAGTCACAAGGCGAAAATGACAAGTGATGAGTAATCAATAATAGATGTATTTTTTTCTGGTTCGTTTGTTGTTTAAAACAAATGCCTAACACATAAATAAGTCGATAAACTCTTAACAATTTTAATAATTATTTTAATAAACATTTTAATAAACAGATGCTAAGTGTTCACAAGTGCTAAGTGCTCTTTAATTTTTTTCTCTATTTAATTTGTGTGTTACAACTTTTTGTTTATTGTTATTTTTACGTAGGAATATTTTATTTTATTCTAGCAATGAATTAGTTAATCCCGAATTCGCTTTGCAAATGTCTCAACTCCATTATATCATTCAAATGACGTAACGGGTCGTGGAAACAACGGTACTTGAGTCGTGCTTATAGAAATTGGGTGCTTATAGAAATTGGGAGATGTCCAAGTTTTAAAGTACATGATGAATAAATATGAAGAAATATTACACACAGAACATACAAACAGAAATAACAATTATTTATAAAATTACTTTGAAATAAATATCAATCTTATTGATTATTCTTTGCGTTAAAAATACTAGTTTTTCAATATCATCAAAATATTAGTTTTAATATTACAAGTTATAAATAAAATTAATTGACGTAAATTCAGAATCTAATTTTTCCCATAAAACATTAACTTTTATTAAATTTATTTATAATTATAAAATTAATTGCGTTAAATGCAAATCAATTTTGCCTGATTATTTTAAAAGCTCAATTTAAAATCTTGTTATTCTCCACTTAAAAACTGCTAGCACTTCGATAATTTAATTAAAGAAAAATTTATTTTAAATCGTTTTAAAAAAGAATTTAATAATTTTTTTATATAATGTGATCGTATTCACAGAAATTATTCCATAGTTCTGAAAGAGCTTTTATACGAGAATTTTAAAAATCCTATGAAGATTTGAATCATTACTTCTTTTATACCATTTTACAAATAAGAAAAGACAACGAATGATTTAAGTGCGAACATAATATTTACTCTCAAAGAACTGATAATTTGCTACTGTCGTATTTGCCATTATCGAGTGATTGTCGTCGGATTCTCGAAGGTCATTACTGGTTCGGTACTGGTTTTTCATAGGACGTCATTTGTAATTTTAAATAACGTTACATCCTTATATAATAACAGACAATAACTAGACATTAGATTGAAAATAGATAGACAATAGATAAACAATCTCGAGGAGAATTATTCAAGCATATCATTACGATTCAATATTAATGATAATAAGTTTACATAACTACAAGTTAAAATTAAAATTAAAAATAAGGACTGATAATCAAAATTACAATTAAAATGAAAAAAAAATACAATTAATAAGGAAAAACAAGAAAAATTAATTTTTAAATCAAGCTTTATAATTCTAAATATCGCTATATTACATAATTATAAAATTATAAATTAAAAATCATAAATTGGATGATAGAAATAACTGCGATTTTTTTAAATTACTGTTGATAATATCTACGTTTGTATATGAAAGAAATATTCATAAATCAAAATAATAAGTTTTTATTTGCATAATGAAATACAGTGAATTTTAATCGAGACAAAGGCATTCTCTCGCCTTCGTGAATTGTCTCACGTCCCACGAAAATTCAACGTTCTTCCTCTCCGAAAGAAGGCAATTTCATTTTAGTAGAACGTACGGCTGAAATCATCGCGACAGATTTTCTATGTTTAAAAAGCGGCTTGTAACACGGTTAACGGAAAAATAGAAAGCATTCGATTTTTCGACCGCTTTGCATTCGACCCTATGCTAAATGATACAGCAACCGCACTCTCATGCCCGATACATATGTATGTTATTTCATATCAAAGTTACCTACATACCCGCCGTTGTACGCAACGCTATATAATTTACATTATATCTGCACGTTCATTCAACTATTTATTCGACCGGATATTTTTTAAATGCTAAATGCATTCGATCGATATATGCGTAATAAACCTTCATATTAAACCCTGCTTCTTTTATATATAATATTACTACTCTGTCATAATATTTATCGCGTTATGTTACTAATAATATAACAACTGTAACGTCAACATTACTCTTTCTCTCTCTCTCTC